TCCTCTCAACTCTGGAGCTAAGTCGTTCATCATGTTGATTTCCGACCTAGATAGACGTAACTGGAGCATTCGAAGATTGTCGTTCTGTTGAGCGTGAATGGGGCATTCGAAACCCATCTGTTCCTCATAAACATTTTTTTCGTTAGATTTATTTCAAGACCAATCTTTCCACAGGCGTTATCGAAATCGGTCAACATTCGTTCCGCTTGGCTGATGTTTGGTGTTATGAGAACGATATGGTCAGCAAAACAAAGATGGTTTAATTGTCGACCGCCAATTTTCACTCCCATTTCGTCCCATTCTAATGTTCGCATGACGTTTTGCAGGGTGGCAGTGAATAGTTTTGGCGAAATTGTATAGCCTTGTTGAAATTGTATAGCCTCTTCTTACATCAGTGGTGATATTGTTGTAGATTGGAGATATTTTGGTCGTGAAATCTTTATAAAGCTCACGAAGGATCATTATGTACCGAGTAGGGACGCCCTGGTTATCCAGAGCCTCTATAATCGCTTCTGTTTCCACTGAATCAAAGGTTTTCTTCAGATCGATGAAAGTGAGACACAGTGGTTGTTTGTACTCTCGTGAAACTTCAATGAGTCTTGTAATCGTGTGAATGTGGTCTATGGTACTAAATCCTTTCCGGAACCCTGATTGTTCGTATGGCTGTCTTTCGTCCAATGTTCTGTCAATCCTGTTTAGGATGACTCGAGTAAAGAGTTTATAGACAACGGACAGCAAGCACATTGGGCGATAATTGCCTATGCCGTCAAGGTCTCCATTTTTGAACAACAATACAGTCTTGCTGGTTTTCATTCAATAGGGATCTTGCGTTCTGACAGGTGGCGAGTGAAGAGCCGAGCCAAGGTGCTGATGAGAACTGGCGGCAGGTTCTTCAGCTGTTCTGCTCCAATCCTGTCTGGACCGGGTGTTATTCTGTTCTTAACCAACGATATAGCATGTTGGATTACGGAAGGGAGGACCGGTGGAACGACATATTCGTCCTCTTTCAATCTATATGACGGTAAGAGGACACGGCTAGCGAAGAGATCCGAGTAGTATTGGTGGATGATTTTCTCCATAGCTCTTCTGGCAGCTGTAAGTGCCCCGTCAGGGTATCGGAGTGCAATCATCTTGGTCTTATGGTTGGCGAAGCCTCGCTGAGCTTTGCGAATGCTCTTCCCAGCTTCTGCACCTTCTGCCATAACTGCTGCTCTTCCTGCTCTTCTCTTTGAGGTCTTCTTATTAATCGCTTCTCTGCAGCGTTTCGCAAGTTCTGACGTAAGGTTTCGGTTGCCTGCAGCTCGTGCGATTCCACGTTGACGTATCAGCTCGAGTGTCTGCGGAGACAAGCGTCTCTTCGTGACCTTAGGACTTTCGACCTACATAGCGCTAACGTGATGATATTCAACGAGTCGATCGTATTCTTCGTCGTTGTTGCCGACAACGGTATCTTCCCAAGAGCCAACTTATGATTTGAATACATCCCAGTTTATGGTGGTTCTGGGACTTCGTTGTTTAAATTTAGCGTCTTTCTATCCTCTCCTCGAAAAACGGAACGTTGCGCGAAGGAGGCGATGGTCTGATCTTGTGTAGAACTTAGGAACAACAGCGACATTGGTTAGGCAAAACCTTCGATTTACTAAGATGTGGTCTATTTCGTTATAGTACTCTCCATTGGGGAACTCCCAAGTCCATCGCTGAAAAGAGGCTTTTGGAATTCCGAGTTACCATGGATGGTTTGAGTCGTTATGATAAACTCAGACAGTCTCTCACCCTGTTCATTCCATTCTAGTTCGTGGGTCCCTAAGTGACGCTCTTCAGTCGATCTTCTAAATCCAATTTTTGCGTTAAAATCTCCGACAACAACCTTGAAGAATGTATGATCTTCTCTGAAGAATTTATCGAGGTCCATATAGAACGCCTCGACTTCGTCTTCGTCATAACTTGATGCTGGTGCGTAAGCAACGAAGACTGTTAAAGCCGGTATAGAACCACGTCGTTTCAACTGTAATCGGCCGATACGGGTTGCTAGTTGTTCAAACGAATCGATGTTTATGATGAAATTCGATTTAACGAGGACGCCAACGCTGCCGACACCTCTGCTATCGCATGTTCCAAGGAACAGTTCTTCTCCGGTGTCATAAACAGCGTGAAAAGGATGGCGCCTTCTCGTCTCAGCCACGCCAATGACGTTGTACCTTATTCTTCTTGCTTGAATCAATAGATCTTCTAAAGCGGATTCGTGAGCAAGAATTCGTAGAAATAGAGTTTTGTCAAGTCGGCACTGCAGAAGCAGGGGTGCTCTCCCGTGAATCCACCTGCGTCTCTGGGCAGCACACGGTCGCTTTTGATTTGCGTTTATTCCCCTATCCACCAACTGGGGACGCGCCACGTGCCCTCGACTAACCGGGCGGGATCCCTCAAAGAGGGAGGTCCGTGGCGATCAAGCATACTCCTTAGAAATCCAAAATTTCCGCGGAAGGGCGCCCTCAGCTCAATATTACACTGAACTGCCGTCCATTGATAAATTAAGGAGAAATTTACTGCATAGCGACTCGAAATCTTCTAAAACGGCATCGCCTGTAAAGAATGAGGAAGCAAATAGAGAAGAAACTTCATTCTGAGCGCACGCATCGTGTATGCTGTTGATGAAGAGATCCGGCCTAATTGCAACGTTGTGAGCTGAACTGAAGACACTTGTTGATCTCTTGAAGACCGCCACATTTTATTGGAAACCGAAAATTTTTGTAATTCAAATAAAAAGGTACCCATTACGTTTCCTTGTTTTCAAAATTTCCCATAAAATTTATTTTGTTCCTTAAATCTACAAAAGTAGAAGGTTTCGACATTTGTATGACTACCCAAAGATGTAGAGTGATGTGCAAATATTTCGCTCAGACGGGAGTCGAACTCACATCTCACTCTACACAGGAGAGCGTGCTCTAAACCGTTGCACTATTGGCACCCATTTTGCAACCACTCTTTCTACGCTACCTGTAGCGTTGTCTATGCGCTATTGTGACGCGAAAGTTTTGCATATCATTCTACATCTTTGGGTAGATCTATAAGATCGTACCACAGCAAAAAACGGCCAAATAGAAAGAATTTCAACTGTATGACTCTAACTGAATTGCATAATTCGTTTTTAGTTCACCCATTAATTTCTGCTTTTGACAAAAAAAAATTACTTGTTCTAAATTCAATCTTAGTTTTCTCATCGCTCTTACACCATTACAGAACGATCAAAAATTCAGACGTTCCCTCCATCCATTATTTAACAATGCTGAGATGCAATTGTGTGACGATGGGCTATGAAAACAATAGCGAAACTTTCTTTAGTTGGATTTAGGTCTTCTCAAGATTTCTACTGAATGGTTCACATCGAAAAGATTACAACGGTGAGAGCATAGCAGCTGAAAAAAGGAAAACAGTGCACAGAATCCTTCAGTAAAGCAATATCATATGAAATTTGTTCATTGCAATTCACGAAATCCTTGATACGAATCACTTCTGATTTGCAAGATCCTTATTGCAAGGATATCTGAGAAACATTTTTTAAGAGTATTTGCTTTATCCCTGATGATAGTACGGCAGATGAAGATAAATCACTAATCATAAGAATTCGGCATTTACAACTCTTGTATGCTAAAAATCACTCAGCATGGTCTTGAGAATGTTTGGAGCCTTTTCGAGGTTGGTACGTCAGGCTCATACGTACATTTCAACGGTTTGCCCGCCTCATCAGTGGCATACGTTCCAAACTAAATCCTATTTTCTACAAAGGATGGGGAGAAGTAATGGTGACAGCACGTGATATTAGATTATCACCATTTCGTAGCCGATGGATTACGGCTGGTAATGATTATGCAGACATCCTTATAATCAAACGTTTTTGAATTTTACTATAAATATTCAGTGTAGTCTGTGAGAATGTAAGCTCTTTGAAGATTGTACGTCAGTGGCATACGTACCAACCTCTGAACGGCTCTTAAAATTCTCAAAGACTACACACAATGTTTATAGAGAGGTTTGAAACAATTGATTGGAAGGATGTAAAGTTATTCTTGATTGGATAGATGAAGTAGTAGATAAACTTTTTATAGCGTCTTCGTATATAGATAGACTGTCATTGCATAGATAAAAACTGTAGTGATTATCTAAGGTAAATGCGGAACTTTGTCGGAACTTGGTGTTGTGGCTTTCAACATTTCATAATCGACCAGACGTATCTGAGAGTTTGAAGCAATATATAAAGCGAGCGGAGCGTCGCGTGAGCCACTTGATAAGTTTTCTTGCCGTACTTACAATGATTAGCGGCCTTTGTGGTGTCTCACGAGATAAACAGCCGCCTCCGACAGCTATTAACTCATCCTCGACAGATGAACTGAGTATTTTATCGCAGAGGGGTTTTTCCATGTCTTAAAAAGAAAAAATGAAACATGAACCGTGCAATTTTGCAGATAAGTCAGTTTGTGAATGAAACGAATGCCTATTTTACGGATGCTTGCTAAAATCTCATGATATTTAGCAAACTGTCAAGTGACGAAGTGTTACAGCTTCTATTATTACTGCTTTAGTGAAGACTGGAGAAGTGGTCTTGATAAAACACTTGAAATAAATGTACAATATTGCACAAATACCAGCTAAAGAGCAATTGAGTGTACAACACTGTATGTTCAGTGATATTCGCGCTTTACTTACACTGTATATCGTTGGTGGACGCTACCTCTTAGTGTGGGATATGGAGCACCCACAGAGGATTGGCTAAAAAGACGACAGTTTCTGCCCGTCTGACGAGACTCTAAGGCCGAAACACATGTGTCGTGCTGTACAAGAGCCCATTACCAGACCACATGACAAATTGGCTCAAATACTATTTATGAGATATCGGAATTCATTTATTTGACCGCCTCTTGCAATGGTATGATCTTGCGTCAGCCGGGATTGGAACCCAGATCTCACTCTTTCTGAAAGCTCGTGCTGAACTGCTCCACTACGTGGCGTCGAAAGTGCAACGGTTCAGCACGCGCTCCCAAAAAAAGTAAGATCTGGGTTCGAATCCCGTCTGACGCAAATGTTTTGCACAGCACCCCACATTATTGGGTAAATTATGAGATATATTGAAATTTGAGCGTGGTATTATTATAACACTCGAAATGAAGAAGATTGGAGAATTAAATAAATAATTCAAAAATTCGTCTATCACGGAATGAGACGCAAAAAACTGATGTGAGCAGTAACTAGTTGGAAGTGTAGCGTCTTTGGAATTCTTTACAAGATGCATTAATTAGGTTATCTACATTTACATGATTGCTAACCAGGAAGAAGGATAGTGCATAAATAGCTTGACGTTGATTTATCTCTTGGGAACATGGGCATGATACACGAATTTGTTACCATTATACGACATTAAAGTAACTGGATATTTTTTGTTTATCAATGGAGTAAATTCTTAAGTGCTCCTATCCGTGCGAGCAATTTTAAGATCGATTTATTGGGCTTATGGTGCAGGAGTCTTGGTCTGCGCGTGAGTGAGGTCAAACTTATATCACTGTATGTATTGCAAGGCATCTTCAACCACTAAACTAACGCACTATAGTTACTATTAGGAACATTAATTTTTTGATGTAATTATGTTTGTCTCAAAACTCTAAATGACCATTTATCGTACAGTTCTGAAATATCATTAACTTCGAATTTATGTTCTTTGAAGAAATCTTTGCCAGTCTGTTGACAATTATGAGTTATTCGGCGGGCATTACATCCGCAAATGAGACGGTTTCTATTAGACACCTCAAATTCAGTTTCGACAGACTGCTATATATGAAAGGAAGGCCCCAGGCAGTCCAAAGCAAGAGAACTGATATGGACTGTTTCTCAGGGACTATCTTAAAAATATAATGTTGCCTAATTCATTTCATTAACAGGGTAAAACGTAAAATATAGCATAAAAACGCTGAAATACAAATAAGTTTTAGACCTATATAAGTGTAAAGGAGTCAAACCAAATTGTACATGCGGGAGAGCGAACGTTCACACAAAAATAATAGGTAAAAGTTAACATTGTGATTCCAATTGCCTCAAGTGGAAATCGATACCTATTTCTGCTATTTGTATCTATTTATTAACATGCAATTGCTGACAGACAGGCTACAGTCAAGGCACTGTTAATAGAATACCGGAGAGAGGGCCTCCATGTGAGGTGCAAGGGCGCGTTGCTCCGGGAAAGCATAATTGAACCTTCAAGGTCGACGTTCGAACGTCTCACACATACATCACATTCCACAGTTTGCTCGCACCCCAGCATTCTTGTGGCTACACATCACATTTCACATTCATGTCGTTCTATTGAACTTCTTTTGAACATTACGAATGTCTAAACTATGTATATCTATGACATATTTATAAACACATGATTGGTAGTGACATCTGTTTCATACTGTAGGGTATGTATGACTTCTATGTAAAACAGCAAACTGCCTATTATTTCATTATCCGACACCATGTGTATCTCACAGTGCAGGTCCCAACTTTCCTTGAAGCAATTCTGCCTTCACATCCCCTCAATCCACAAACGTTTTTGAACTCTTTTGCGTAAGATTTTAGTCTTACTGAATCCAGGCAATTTTTTTGCCCTTCCAAATGTCGCTGAGTACTGATCAAGTCGATTCATGTTTGACTCCCGAGATGGCTGTTTTATGACGTTTCTACTTGCATATTTTTTGAAATGAAGAATATGAGCATACTTTATGAAAAAAACAAACTCGTCCGCTATACGGAGCAGCCTATTCTATTGCAGGAACGGTGAAGATCTCAGCGTCTGTGATGTGGAATTATCAGGTGTCTGTGCAAACCGTTGTGAGCGTTGTCACTATCTCTGAGACATAGTCATCCTGAATAGAGGACTAAAGCTACTTAACTGTGGTACTAAGGGTTGACTCCATAAATTCCGTGCCACTATCTCGAGGTGAGGCGGCGCTGTACTCAAGGAGATCGACTCGGTACGACCACGAAGAGGATCGATTATCGATCATCGACTTGAGTCAACTGGCTGTGAACAATGCGAAGGTATTGTAAAGTTAACCAAAAATTTAATAATAACTTCATATAAGCCAGACAGGTACTTATATGACGGCGACAAATGGAAACCGATCTCATTCGCTGGACAGAAACTTTTATAGGAGTGTTAGTAATTATTCGAAAGCATAGATTTCTGGTTACACCCTCACGTGGCCGATTTTCGGGAAAATTCTTTGTTAGCTCTGTATAATCCAAAATAAAATTATGTCTCAAATCAGTCGTTCGCCTTCATTTCTATGGCGCGTATAAATAGTTGAGGACACAAGAAGCATATCAGCGTCTAGAGAAGCTTTCGTAGTGTTTGAGTCAACCACTTTATCTGGAGTTTCTTTCGAAGCGGAGAAGAAGTTTCCATAGCCAGTAAACAAGCTCGTCGAAAATGCAAAATTCGATCCTATTTTCTCTGCTAGGCGCTATTTCCAGAAAAATAAGCACGGCGTTGGAATGATTGTACTTATGCTATCGATTGATTACTAATAGCCTAAAGAAAGAGCTCTGTCCGGCGAGATATGAAGCCCAAATCATGTTTTTCTCCAACAGTGCTATCAAAAAAAATTTTTGTGAAAAGCAAACACATTTTTGAGCTCTTCGAGATGCATGCTTCCGAAAGAATATTAACACTCCAAGGAAGGAGTTTGGTTCATCGAAATTTAAGCGAGATATGAGAAAAAACACGTGGTTGTGTAAAATATAAATTTATTTTGGATTTTACAGCGTTATAAAAAGTGTTCTGAGAAACTGATTTTACGTCGCTGCAGCCAGAGATTGAGCTTTCGAATGATTACTAACACTTCTATGAAAAGTTCTTGTCCAGCGAATGAGATCGATTTTTCATTTGTCACCTCTAACATTTAAGTACCCTGAACAATATAAACATAATTAATTATTCTTGCCGAGAATAATTGAAAATTGTTCTACTAGTGTTAACATTTGGAATTTACGGACATAACGAACTCGCGATGGGACGTTTGTGAGTTGAATGTCGGGTGTTTCTTGACTTTGTCGGTGATGCTGCACCACGATATGTCTGTGTATTGCGTATTGCTACGTCCTTTGAGCTTGTGTAGACTGAAGTATAAGGCGTATCTTGGCTTTGTAGAATCATTGAAAATCTAATCATAATCCGTGTTCTTTCGATTGGTTCAAAGGGGTTGTATTTCCGAATTCTATTTATTTCTAAAGGTAAAGCATGCGATGGTTTTATCCGATACATGATTGCTCATCCAGGCTATGATTAATATGGATTATCTGGTGCAGCGGACTCACTATAGTACACTTATAACTTGCTTTTAAGTACTGTGGCTTCATATTGTATCGGGGTCATAGTTTTCGGTATATGGAAGTTGTGACCACTCATATATTTTCATCGACACTTCATGCAATGTTTTAGTAAACGTGGATTCTCTTCAATCGTTGCTTTGAAGAAACCGCTGACGTTTCCAATGTGTTTCGGCCACTCAAAATAATATGGTTTATGTGACGTTTCTTTTGTGGTAGTTAGATCATTTTTCAAATAATAGTGCCTTTTTTGTCGGAAATGAAGATATGTTAAACTCTTGGAACATCGTAAATGCTAAGATCTCTGGGCTGCGTATGTGGAAGTTAAGCGGAAATTTTCATCAAAGTCAGCGACCAAAAATCAAAAGCACCGTTGTACACGCTTGAATATCGAAAACTAGATAGGCCAGACACATGATTGGCCTCAACGATAATCGATGGACAACGGCCATTACTGTCTAGATTCCACAGGATGACAAACGTACTGTTGGAAAATCACTGAGTCGATGACCGAAGTTCTTCACAAAAATCCTACGGCTCAGCAAGTCCCGAGGTCACCACTCTCAAGAGCATCGCGCATCACCGAGAACGAGATGACAAAGGAGTAGAGAAAACAGATAGAGAGATTGTCACTGCTTCGATGATATCATCGGTTCTCACAGTTTCGTTGCCTTACCAGATAGAAAGAGTTTCAATAGCGATGGGGGAGTTCTGCCTTTATTTGAACCTTATAAAATCGTGTTCAAAGAAAATTAGAATCGTTTTTGGTTATCCATATACCCATGCTCTATGGAACGAATGCCTTCAAATATATGCTTTTATAGCAGAGTTGTAATGTTACAATTATCTTTCCATGAATGTTCAGTGATATGCTAGAATATAGAGCGTGTGTGGCGCAGTAGGGTGCTCTGCGACACACATGATCGGTCCGTCGATAGTCGTTGGTTCCATATCGTGCTCAAGGCTCGCCAAACCATCCATCTCTCCGAGACCCGTGACTTGGTAACCCTTTTTTGAGGGATAGCATCACTGACTTGATCATCGGTAGGCTACCAAGAGTCATTTTAAAGGCCAGATATTCATTCAATTATTTCAAACAAAGCTAAAATTCAAAGACGAGTGCATGGCGCACTCCTTAAGAATTGATCGACAGCGAGCTTTTCATCGCTTCATGCTTGGATATATAATTGTAACATCATGGCAGTGTTGTATTAAAGTAGCAGTTCAAAGAACTGATAGATTATATATGCCCAATAGATGTCAACTTGACTAGGGCTTAACAAAATATGTATTTATCAGACTAAACTGGTTGGTCACTGACAGCTTCAATACCTTCTATCGCTGAAGATGTGGCAACAGAGCAACGATCTCTGTGGTGCAGTGGTAGCACACGTTCCTGGTAAGAGTAAAACGCGAGTCTATATCCCAGCTCAGATTCAGAGTTTTGCATATCACTCAGGATTACAGGATATGTACAAAGAAGCTAGATAAAAATTGCGTGTATCGCGCACCCTAGTTTCAGAGCCTCGGCCTAAAGTATACATTGGAACCTTGGCTGCAGGATAGGTTCATTAGAAGATCGTTCAGCGATGTAAGATTGGCTATCGAGAGGCAATTTTTGGAGGGTTCTTTGTCGCGAGGCTGCCGTACTGATTCCATCTTCAATCTACGTCATCGTATGATACTGAAGTAGTGGTGCAGAATACTTTTTCACA